TTTTTTTTCTTTTTTTTCTTTTGGTTTTTGGAGACAGTGTTTCTCTATGCCTGTCCTGGAACTCGACCAGGCTGGCTTCAGACTCACAGAGATCAGCCTGCCTCTGCTTCCTGAGTGCTAGGATTAAAGGCATGCACCACCACCACCCGGCTACTGTTTGTTTTTTTCATGAAAACCTCAGTGTCAGGTTGCGGGTCTTCTCCCTCTGAGTTATTATTGGTCAGGGAGTCCCAGAGGCCCCTAAATCAACACAGGTGATTCCACTGATCTTGGTCGTCTACCAGGACTAAGTGTAAGACCCTAATGCTAAAAACACAAGACACCTTGGTAGCAGAGGCATCGAACTGGTGCTGACCATCAAACTTCCTCCTGCAGGACGGGTTTCACAGGGTGGGATGGTGCTAGACGGGCCACGGGGGCGGGGGTGGTGGTGGGAAGCCATCAATGCTCTTATATAGCGAACCCTGACTGCGACAATACCAACCTGCCAGGCAAGATGCCCTCACAGGTGCCCTAGTAGCACGACTGTTGTGGGAATAACCAACTACTTTCTAATTGAGTCTGAGGCCTGGCACACAGGATGGAACTCATGGCTGGTTGTGTGTCTTAGTTTGGGTTCCTATTGCTGTGATGAAACACCACGACCAAAATCAGTCCAGAGAACAGACCATCACCAAGGGAAGTCGGGGCAGCAATCAAGCAGGGCAGGAGCCTGGTGGCAGGAGCTGATGAAGAGACCATGGCGAGGAGCTGTTTAGTGGCTTGTACCTCATGGTTTGCTCAGCTTGCTTTCTTATAGCACCCTGGACTACCTGCCCTGAGGTCCCCTCACCCTCAATGTATTATTATTCCCTACCACGTCAGCCATTAATTAAGGAAAGGCCCTAGAAGCCTGACTACAAACCAATCTTATTTTCTTATTTTCTCAATTTCTCATCCCTCCTCTCAGATGACTCTAGCTTGGGTCAAGCTGATATAAAAACTAGCCAGCACACACTGTAAACCTGCCCCAAAGTCCAGAGCTCAGGAAGTACATTTTGCTAAGTGACATGTCCAACTGCCTTCTAAATATGTGCACTTACGGACGAGTGTTGCTCTTAGCCTTGCCCAGAGCAGCTCTTCTCAGCAGAGACTCAGAACTCGTCCAAACACTGAGAGTAAGTGACGACTGGATGCTCAGCCCTGCACGGCACAGCCCCGAACATCACAGCCCTGCACGGCACAGCCCCGAACATCACAGCCCTGCATGGCACAGCCCTGAACATCACAGCCCTGCATGGCACAGCCCTGAACATCACAGCTCTACACGGCACAGCCCCGCACAGCACAGCCCTGAACATCACAGCCCCGTACGGCACAGCCCCACACAGCACAGCCCTGCACGGCACAGCCCCGCACGGCACACCCTGTCAACCTCCTCACCAAAGCTTCGTGGAAGGCAGCGAGAGGAATGAACAACTGAGGTGGGGAGGAGCACAGTGAGATGATGTCTCCTGGACACGTCCCGGCCATTGCTCTTCTGAGCCTACTGTAGCTATGGTCACCCGCACAACGTCAAGCCAGCAACATCAGTCATCCCAGCAGGCAACACCGAATGGACTCAGGGTTACAAAGAAAAAAAAAAGAAAAGATAAAGGACAGAAGGAAAGGAGGGGAACGTGTTGGAGTGTCTTGGGAGCAGATGATCAAGATACATTCTGTGTATATATATGAAATTGTGAATAACAGGGACTAGAGAAGTGGCTCCCTGGTTAAGAGCACGGGCTGCTTTTGCAGAGGAACCAGGTTCAGAGCCCAGCCCCCACATGATGGCTCACAGCCATCTCCAGTTCCAGGGCACTCAGTACCTTCTTCTGGCCTCCATGGGTACTGTATGCACATAGCACACAGACCTATATGCAGGCAAGACATTTGTACACGGAAAATAAGCCAATCTTAAAATAGAATTTTTTTAAAAAATGTTACTATAAAAATTCCAGTCCTCAAGACATTGTGGTGTTGGCAGAGGAGTCAAGAGTTTAAGTAAACAGAAGAGAGAGCCCACAGACATAGTATAATGCCTTTGAGAAGAGAACCCAGGTGACAGAGTGGAGTAAAAGGAACTTGTCAACAATGATGGGACATTTGCTTGTACAAAGATGCACCTAGACACAGAACTGAATGTCCTTCAATGAATGTACTCAAGGAACATCATGTCATGTGCCTGCCTCCAGAGCCTGATGACCCACAAAGCTGTCCTTTGACCTCCACGTGTGTGCATGTGTGCAGCCCCACAGTGTAATAAGAGACAGCTTGAGTGTGGTTCCCAGCACCCACATCTGGCAGCTCTTGACCACCTGCAACTCCAGCTCCACGTGGATCCAGCACTTCTGGGCTCTGAGGGCACCTGCATGCACAGGCACGTGCCTGATGCTGAACGCAAGTCAAATAACCCCAAGCTAACTCCGAGTATCCTGAGTTTTTTTTTTTTTATTAAAAGGGAAAACTCATGGGAACAGGAATGGGGTGTGGAGCATGGTAAGAAGAGAACGAGCTGGGTGGGACGGCAGCTTTTTGGGTACCCAAAAGTCATGCCCCAACCTGGTCCAGCCTCTTAAAGGCCATTGGCTGAAGGAGGTTCCCCATTATGTGCCCATACACAGACACACATAAGATTAAAGTATTGGTATGTGTGGCCACAGGAGATCCAGGCCAGTGCTGGCTTACCTGTACATGTGAATCAGAGCTTCTTGTCAAGTATCCTGCAGTTGTCCCCCTTAGTGACTGAGCCCAGACTGGGGCAGGGGCATGGAGACACTGCTTGCATGATTAATGGTGCTAGGGGAGAGGCACTCTAAGGGACAAATGGACCCTACTGACCCTGCAAACTATAAACCATGAAACTCAGTCAGGTGAAGCAGGGCTGTGGTGGCTGTCTGGAGAGCTGGACCTCCTCAAAAGCAGTGGGCAGGCAGGGTGATAAATAACTTTGAGATGAGTAGACAGGTCCCCTTCTGGATGGCAGGGGCTTCCAGAGAAATCAAGACAAGTGTGAAACTTTAAACAGCTTCTTGGCAGGCTGGTTCAGGGCCAAGGAGCCAGGCTCTGCAGAGGAAGTGGGTCCTGACAGGCCTCTTCTTCTTTGGGCCAAGAGCCTGGGCTTCCTGCGGCCCAGTGACCTCACATCTGAGGGGAGATGTGCTGTTGGAGACTGGGCTGCCCCTTTAGGAACAACTCAGGAGTGTCGGGCTAGAGTTCAGTTCCTTATCTACCATTTATAAGCTGCATGAGCTTGGATGGCTCAATCCAACTGACCCCGCTGCCATTCACTTTCCTGTGTCAAGAATGGAAATGGTAAAGACTAAACTGCACATGGGTAACACTGAAAATGTTAGCCATGGTTCCATTGGCCATGTTCAGGTGCATATGCACATGTGTGTGTGTGTGTAGGCCAGAGGTCAACCTGTGGATCATAACCCCTTTAGGGGGTTGGATGACCCTTTCACAGGGGTCACCTAAGGCCATCAGAAAGCAGATATACTACAATTCATAACAGTAGCAAAATTACAGTTATGAGGTAGAATGAAAATCATTTTATGATTTGGAGTCATCACAACATGAGGAACGGTATTAGAAGGTTGCAGTGTTAGGAAGGTGGAGAACCACAGGCTGGCATGAAGCCATGCAGGGCACCTCAGAAGCTTGAAGATGCAGAACCTGCCCTACCTTCTGAGCCCCTGCAGGAGGATGGTTCAGCTTGATTCTCTCTAAGCCAGAGCTCATCAGTTCTTGACTTTTGAACTTCTGGCCACCAGGATCCTGAGAGAAAGTCTGCTGTTTTAAGCCAATCAGTTTATGCTAATTAGTTACACAGCTCGCCATGCTGGCCCACACTCACCTGCATGCCTTGCATGCTCACACTGGAAAGAGTTTCATTGCTCCTGTGCAGCCAGGGTGTAAGCCAATCAAGCTGTCAGAAGCTCTGCCTGGAGACCAGGGGCCATCTGTAGCTTCCTATGCTTCTAGGGAGGGCAGGAGGACTCTGGTAGCTGGAGCCTTGGATCTCCAAAGGGGCTGATGATCAAAGCTGGAGAGGAAGGCCAGGCTCCAAGGCACAGGCTGTGAAGACCACTCTCACCTCCCGGGTCCAGAGATTCTGTAACCGTCACAAGTAGGACAGAGCTGGGCTTGCCATAGAAAAAGAACCTGGGTTGTGCTGTGTGGGGGTGAACGCCTATGTGAGAGACTGTATGTAAGAGCATAGCCATCACTGGGAGATGCTTCTGGATGGAGAGTTTGCCAGTGAGTGTGAACAGGTTAATGTGGCTGTACGAGGATGCAAGAGTGTGTCCATACACGCTGGCATGTATCGTGTGACCCCTGTAGTGAAACCATACCAAGCTGCCGAAAGAAGACACAGCTGGGTTCCCCCACTCAAGAGATTCCTGTGTTGGGAGGGCCTAAAGGCACTAACAAGGGCACACTCCTGGGCTCAGATCCTGACTGGATGCCTAGGGACATTGCACCACGAAGCCTGTTTCACGGTGTCAGGCTGGTACCTTATGTGATGTTTGCTTTAGAGATGAGAGTTGAGAAACTGGGTAAGGGGGTAAGGGCTTTGCCACCACTCCGTGCCCATTCCAAGCTGAGAGGGTTCAGGACGGGTTCACTGAAGCTGTTATTCATTTTTGAACTTCTGGTCACTATTCAAATTCTGAACTTCTAAAAAAAAAAAAAATTCTGAACTTCTATGAAGAAGGTCCACTGACGCGTTCCAGGCGACTGACTTCCTTCCTTTCTAGGCACCTCGGTTACCCCTGAGCGACATGGTCTTAGACCTGCCCTTGCGCCCGCTGGGTGGCCGTGTGTGCAGTGGTGCGTCTCCCAGAGGAACCCTGGAATACCTCAACACAAGTTCTTGAACTTGACCAGGGCGAGGGGCGTGCCCGCGACAGACCACACCCACCCCAGCCCCCACCCCCGCTGCATTCTACCGGGGAACGGCCGGAGGTGACGCCGGGACGGAGCGTGTAGGGACCAGCAATGAAGGCCAAACCCGAGCTTAGCCGCACAGACGACGCCGCGGTCGTACCTCAGAACCCCAACCGTCCTGAGTGCTGCGTCAGGCGGCTCCGCAAAGAAATTTCCAACAGGAGACATGGCAGCTTTAAAATAAAGATTCTGAGTCCTGCACTCCGTGCATCCTGTGACTGTTCCAGCCCTGTGCTGGAAACATGGCCGCCTCGCCCGGGAAGCCGCCTTCTAGACCGGTTCCTGCCCTGTCTGCGTTCCTCTCTGCAGTTGAGAATTTACAGCGGCCTCTTGGTTGCCGGCGCCGGGCTCTCGGTGGGGACTCACCCGGAAGTTGCCGCTACCGCTGGTGGCGCGGCCGCTTTGCCATGGCGACGGCCGCTCGGCAACGCTTCTGCCGCTGTGCCTGCTTCTGCTCTCAGAACCTGTACGTGGCGCGCTACGGGCTGCACCTGCGCTTCCGGGACGAGCAGCAGTTGCGCCGTGACTATGGCCCGGTGAGGGGGCGGGGGCGCAGGAGGGGCCCGGACACCAGGACTGGCTTTGCCCGAGGCCTCTCGCTGCAGCATGGCAGCTCCCTAGGAACCTGAGAACACGCGTGCCGAGTGCGCTGGACAGAAGTTTTCAGACCTATCGTTGATCCTGTCACTGTCATCTCCGTGACAGGGGTGGGGGGCGCTGAGGCTCAGAGATGTTTATTGACAGGGTCACATAGCCCTGCTAACTGACCTTTCTGCTCGCAGCTCCTGCGCAGCCGAGGCTGCGTCAGTTCCAAGGACTTCCAGCAACTCTTGGAGGAGGTATGGCACCCCTGCCAGCCCTTCCTCTGGAGCCCTTGCCTCCGAAGGACTTCTTAGCCCTCTTTCCCCAGTTCCTGCTTCCACTTACTCCCACTCCCAGGTCCTGGCCCAGGAGAGAGATTGAGAAAGACCAAATTGCCCCCAGCGTCCCCTTTTCACCAGCTGAGTGGCATGGTCAGGGCCACCACCCCCATTTCAGCTATCAGGACACCTTGACACCTGCAGAGAACTCCGGCGGGTTCAGAAGTATAGGCAGACTTGCCTTCCAGCCTGGGTCCCACTTTGACCTTCCTGGACTTCAGTTTCTTCTCATGGTGTTGGAGATGGGTGGCCCCAGTGTGTAACTGCCTTTGCCGTTCCAGCTTGAGCAGGAGGTGGGGCGCCGGCGCAGGCTGGGGCAGGAATCAGCTGCCAGAAAAGCCCTCATTGCCAGCACCTACCACCCAGCGAGGCTTGATGTCTACTGCTCACTGCAGGTACTAGGCCGGCCTGGAAATCACATTCTTTGGGGCTCCTTTGCTTTCTGAACCTGCTCCACCCTCGACCCTCAAGCTTCTGGGAGCTTGGAGGATGCTGCCCTGGTGGGGGGCTGGACTTTTCACAGCTGCCCCCTGTTCTGCCCCAGGACGCGGTTCTGGCCCCTGAGTTTGTGGCTGCAGCTGAATACAGTGCATCCCCCGGTGCAGGCCTTGAGGGCCTTCTCCAGCAGCTGGAGATAGTGTCAGGTGAGGCCCTTCAACCCCATCACCAGCCAGCACTGCAGGGGGCGGGAGCAGGGTGGTGGCAGCTTGAGACACCTGGGTATGGGAGGCGGGGTACTTTAACTCTCATCTCCGGCCCGGAAGTAGCCACCAGGAACTGGGATGGCCAGCAGGAGCAGCAGTCTGCCAGGGAATTTCATTCATTAATTCATTCATTCTCTTGTTCACTTATGGATCACCCAGCTAGGTTCAGGGAGTATGTTACTATTCCCATTGTACAGAGGGAACTGGCTTGAGGCTTTAGAATGACTTTCGGATAAGCTGGCTCACGAGGCTGAATGGGAGCTCCTGTTCCACAGTCTGCCTCTCCTTCCTCAGAGGAGAAGCGCATCTACAGGGTGCCTGTGTTCTCTGCGGAGTTCTGCCAGGCCCTGCTGGAGGAGCTGGAGCATTTCGAGCAGTCGGACATGCCCAAGGGAAGGCCCAACACCATGAACAACTATGGGGTGGGTGAGGCCTGCCTGTGTACCTGGAGAACAAGGACAGTTAGTGCACGAGTCACCTTGTTCTGAACCTAGAGCACCAGGAAATCAAGCAGCTCTTGCACTTAGCAACATCTTTGGCTAAGAATTGTGGGGATGCAGGGTGAGGCTCCCCAAGTCTCCCTGCTGATGCCTGGGAATCCTCCTTAGGTACTGATGCATGAGCTAGGCCTCGATGAGCCACTGGTGACACCACTGCGGGAGCGCTTCCTGCAGCCACTGCTGGCCTTGCTGTACCCGGAGTGTGGTGGGGGCCAGCTTGATAGCCACCGGGCCTTTGTGGTCAAGTATGCGCTGGGCCAGGACCTGGAGCTGGGCTGCCACTACGATAATGCCGAGCTCACCCTCAATGTGGCTCTGGGCAAGGCCTTCACAGGGGGTGCCCTATACTTTGGGGGCCTCTTCCAGGTGAGTGAGCCCCACCACTTAGGGCCCAGGCAGTCATGAGTACTCCAGCCTGAACCCTACCATCTGCAGGCACCTGCAGCCCTGATGGAACCCCTAGAAGTGGATCATGTGGTGGGCCAGGGTATCCTGCACCGCGGTGGCCAGCTGCACGGGGCTCGGCCCCTGGGCACCGGAGAGCGTTGGAACCTTGTCATCTGGCTCCGGGCATCTGCTGTTCGAAACCGCCTCTGTCCTATGTGCTGCCAGAAGCCAGAGCTGGTGGACGATGAGGGCTTCGGCGATGGCTTCACCCGGGAGGAGTCTGCCGTGGTAGATGTATGTGCACTTACTTGAGCCTGGTCCCCCAGGGGCGGTGGTGCCATGGCAGCAGGAAACTGCCAGCTTGGGTGGGGAGGGCAGAAATAAACTCTATAGCCATGACCCTCCTTGGGCCAAAGGGACATGCTGACTCCCCGGTCACTCTTTGGACAGATGAGCTGTCTTGGGGCAGAACTGCTGGAAGACAAGTCGAGTTTGAGATGAAATATTGAGGGTCGAGGGTGGAGCAGGTTCAGGAAGAGAAGGAGCCCCAAAGAATGTGATTCCCAGTTATGTCCAGCCTCAGCCTGATCCCTGGGGAGCTCTGCTTGGGGTGGGGGACTCAGTCAGTGACTCCTTGGGTAGGGTGGCTCCCAGGGACTTAAGTGGGGTTCATTGGTCTGTCAGCAGTGCTGGCGAGTGGGAAGCCAGACTTTCTGGGTTCAAGCCTCTGTTCTGGCACGTCCCGCTGGGCAGCTCAGAATTTGTTTGCAGCCTGGGTGTTGTGACGAGCTGACATTTATAAAGCACTTTACAACAGCCCTCTGTTTCCTGTTGTTATTTAAGAGCTTAGAACTGGTGGTTTGGAGATTGACTGAGGGGTGCACATAGCTGTGCGCTGTTCGGGATACATATTCCTGGGGACTTCAGTTGTAAGTCTTAAGTACTCAGGGAAAGTGCTGAGATACAGAAACACCACCCTCCAGATGGAGCAGTCTCAGCTAGACACCCGACAGGCCGGGGATTCATTCCTTAATTGGTTGTCATGATCCCTGGCTCATGATGGGCAACTGGACTTGCCACCTCCAGCAGTGAGTGACGTTAGAAATACCAGCTGTTTTCAGTCCATCGGAGCTCTCAGTCTGGTGGAGTGGACAGACCGGCAGACTAACCAGGGAAAACAGTAGGAGGGTGGCTTTCAGGAGAGTGAGAGGCCCGAGGGCTTGCGGCTGGCGCAGGGCCACAACCCGACTCCCACCCACGTAAAGACACCACTTCTTGTTGGAAGTGGGTGTGCCAGAAGCGGAACCCCGGGTCCGGAAGGAACTAAAGGCAACAAGGACTCAAGCTACACCCGGACGGACGGCCTTTCCGGACGGCCCCACCTCGGAAGCGGACCGGAAAACCCCGACAGGCTGCTAGTTCCTCACGGAGGCTTACTGTAGACTGGTGGTTCACGAGGGAACCGGGCGGCCTCGCGACTCCTCTCTGGGCAGCCAGGCCGCCTTCTCGCAGTTGAGGAGAGCTGTGGCGTTCCCCGCGCCCGCCGCGCAGAGTCCAGTGCGCAGGCGTGTGGGCGGGGCGGGCCCTTAAAGGGTCCGCGGTGCGGAGTCGGAGGAGCTGGGGTCGCCAAGCGCGAGGTTCTCGGGCGGGAATGGGTACTAGGTGCCCCGAGGACCAGGCCCCGTTGGCACTGAGTTTGGATCTACTCTGCGGACGTGCCCAAGAGGAGCCGCAGGTTAAACGCGTCTCTTCCGGTCTCTAGCCCGCTTTGCTATGGCTCACGTTGGCTCTCGCAAGCGCTCGAGGAGTCGCAGTCGGTCGCGGGGTCGACGGGGGTCAGAAAAGCGAAGCAAGAAGAGTAGTAAGGACGCCTCGAGGAACTGCTCAGCCTCCAAATCCCAGGGTCACAAGGCCAGCAGCACGTCTGAGGGTGAGGACCGTAGGGACAGGGAAAGGGGTGTGCGGCTCTGCGCTGCGGGAGGCTTGCATCTGTCGGGCCCGCCCCCAGGGAGCAAGGGATTCGGTGTAGAACCCAGATTGAGTCCCTCGGATAGGGAGGAGGCTCGGTGGAGGGGAGGGTGTGCCTTATTCATGCTTTAATGTGCTGGGCCTTTGAGGTCGGGCCTGGCCATCCTGCCAGGCACACAGTGACTTCCAGGATCCCAAAGAAGGTTCCGAAGATGCTCGTGGGGAGCCGGTCGGGAGGGTCCTACCGAGTAGAGGCTGCCCCAGAGCAGAGCAGGGTACAGAGGCCTTATCTTCTCCCTGCATCACAGAGAGAAGCAAGCACAAGGTCCGGAGGACAGCGAGGTCCAGCTCTTCCTCCTCCTCTTCCAGTTCTTCCAGCTCTGCATCGTCTTCATCTTCCAGCGATGGCCGGAAGAAGCACGGGAAACACAAGGATAAGAAGAGGAAAAAGAAGAAGAAACGGAAGAAGAAGCTAAAGAGGAAAGCCAAGGAGAAGGCAGTGGTGGTGCACCCGGTTGAGGCTCTGCCCGGCCCCTCATTGGATCAGTGGCACAGATCAGCTGGGGAGGACAACGATGGCCCAGGTACCATGTGGGCCACCATGTGGTGGGGAGAGGGTGCCCTCCCCGGGTCTGACACCCCTTCCGTATTCTGTTTCAGTCCTGACTGATGAGCAGAAGTCTCGTATCCAGGCTATGAAGCCCATGACAAAGGAGGAGTGGGATGCTCGACAGAGTGTCATTCGCAAGGTGGTGGACCCAGAGACGGGACGTACAAGGTGTGGAGCAGCAGACACAGCTGCTAGTCCTGCCCTCAGTACAGGCGGGAGGATGTGCTCTTGGGGGTGGGATATGGGGAAAATGGTCATTTGTAGTGTGATATCCCAGCTGTTATTCCCTGTGCCCCTTGAGTAGTATCAGGACTGGAAGTGCCTTGTCGTTTTTCAGATGCTTGCTGCGACAAAAGAGAGCCTACCTGAACTGTCTCCATTCTGTCCTGAGTAGTGGTTGGGATGAGTGGCCAGGCTCCCCCTGCTCGAGATGGTCGGGCTTGCCCTGGGGTTCCTTGGCTTGGGTGGTTTTGGTTCTTTTACTATGACATGAGAGTCCCAGACTCTTACTTGGTGAGCTGATCCCCTTTGACCCCCACCCCCACCCCAGGCTCATCAAGGGAGATGGTGAGGTTTTAGAGGAAATCGTAACCAAAGAACGGCACAGAGAGATCAACAAGGTTGGTGTCACCACTCTGCCCATGCTGTGCCCTCACGGTGTCTACACTCAGTATCTCATGCTTCTATCCTGTTTGCTTTCTCAGCAAGCCACCCGAGGGGACGGTCTGGCCTTCCAGATGCGAGCGGGCCTGCTCCCCTGAGGGCCCTGGTACCCCAGTCTGTGAACTACTGTTGATGGCTTGGAGACAGATGGATCCAATTGCCTTTGTTCCTGTGGGTGCCCCTAAGCACCAGACTGGGAGAGTGTAGTGTCAATATTAAATGATCTTGGTCACCGAGTTCCTGTCTTGTTGCTTTCTATACTGAGGGGCGGAACTATGCCATTTGACTTCTAAAGAGATGTGCTTATTATCTTTGGAAAGCTGGCATGTTCTCTGGTGGTGAGCAAAAACTACTAGCCACCCTGCTCCTCCTCAGTTGACTCAACCAGGACCAAACCTGACCCTACCCTGGCTGAGTGAAACTCAGCTTTGGTCCTTAGATTGAACTTATCAGGCCATTGCCTGTGTCCTGTTCCACTGGAGCCAGGCTGTGTCCCCTGGGGAGCAGAGGCTAGCAAACGTACCTTACCGGGTCTGTGCGTGAGGTGTGCGCTGATGCCATAGTGGTTAGTTAGCATGTGTCATTGCAGTGGATGTCCCCACACACAATCCAGGAGACCCACGGTGCCGCCACAGTAATGAGACCAGAAGGAAGCCTCCTGCTTCTTTAATTGGTGTAACAGACTGTGACACAGTATACAGAGAGCACACTCAGGCCAGACGATGCAAGGACAGCAGGGATGGGGTCAGGACAGGTTCACACATCGTCCAGAGAAACAGATGACAAGGACACATGGGAGGGGCTGAGATGTGACGATGTCACAGGGCAGGGTGGTGGGCAGCTCACACAGAACCAGGAAGGGGTGGGGGAGGGTTCTTTGCTGAATCCTTCTTTAGAAATCAAAGAGAAGGCAGGTGGTTGGTGCTGGGTGGCATTGAGGCTCAGTCCTGGGGACTGCGGGTGGGGAGGGAGTGACTAAGGCTTCTATTCTAACAGGCCTGGGGTGGGTGGCAGTCAGCAAGGTCTGCCTCACCCTTTGGTTACGAATGGCCAGGCCTGAGCCCTGCAGCTCAGCACCTGACACTGTAAACATTTTTGGTATTTTTAAGGGACTTTGACCTTCCTCTCTTAGTTTCTGTAAAAGTGTGGCTTCTTCAAGAGAATGAGCCAAAGGAAATTGTAAGGGAGCAGAAAGCAGACTTGAGTGAAGTTTGGGGGAAGGCTGCCGTCTCACCATCTATGGCTAAGGGCCCAGGGAGAGCCCTAGGGGACTATTGCTGTTGTCCTTGGCATGGCTGGCGGCTGGGCAGGCAGGGACATTCGGAGCCACGAGGGGGCTGCCCAGGGGGAGAAACCAAGCCCGCTGATCCCAGGGCTTCCCTGGCCTTTATTGCAGGTGGCCTGAGGCTTCCAGGTGCTTCTCCCAATGGCTAGTCACCTAGGCTGAGGCAAGAAGGGGTGGGACTGTGGGAGGGGGCACTGGCCACTGGAACCCCTAGTGGGGCAGTGATTGTCGGGCCAGCAGCCTCCTTCAGGGGTGGGGAGTGGTGGGGCAGATATTGCACTTTCATTGTGACGGTTCCTTGGAATCTTGGTCCATAAAATCACTGCTTTATACAGAACGCTGGAAACAGCAAAGCTACATCTTAAGGGGGAAGACCATGAAGGTCTCGCCTCTCCAGACAGTTTTTTTTTCTCTGCACAAAATAAATAGCTTTCTTTCTGTCTAGGCCCACCATGGCAGGACATCTCACGCCCCTGAGATGCACATATCTCTACAGCAAAGTCAGCGGCTCCTGTACGCCTACCTACTCAGCCTAGCCGTGAGGCCCTGAGTCTCAGTCCAGCGTGGCAGCTCCTCAGGTAGAGCCCCCGTAACTGGACAGCTGGCCTGAGCTTGGTGGGCTCAGTCAGCACAGGGAAGGTGCAAGAGAATTGTGCTCAGTGCTGCGGGGAAGGCAGGGCTCAGACCCAGAATGTGGGACACCCGTCCTTGTTTAAGGAGAAATAAAATGGCTGTCTGCCCTTAAGCTGACGAAGCAAGCTGTGGCTTCTTGGAGTAGACATTAAACAGAATGGCATTAAGAAAACCTAAGAGCTCCACCTGCTCCAGAGTAGGAAGTCGGTGGAATTGTGGGTCTGGTGAGGCGAGAAGCCCACAGCTTGCCGAGTGGACCAGGTGCAGGGCCCACAGGCCAGACTGAGTGGGACCCTGTCACAGTGCTGGGTGTTCCTAATGTAGCAGGCTGCACTGATGCTGAGCTAAGAAAAGGAAGCAGCCGCTGGCTGCCTGTTAAAAAACCTTATAGAAACCAGATGGAGAAGTAGAAAGGTGTAGAAACGCGGCGGACAGCGGCCATGGCATGGTGCTCCAGCCCATGGCAGGCGAGGAGGTGGAGGTGGAGGCCAGGCTTCACAGGCCCAGCTGCCCAAGGTGGGTTCCCAGGAAGGAACTGGCTAAGCACTGTGCTGGCCTTGCGCCTGTGCTGTGCTCAGGACCCGGAACGACAGCAGTCCTGGGACTGCACTGAGCTCTGGGTGGGCAGGTGGGTGGGTGGGCAGCAGTCTTGAGACTGCC